GCAATCACATCTGCCAACTCCTTTAGCACTCTCGGATGCAACGCATCCGGCCCCATGGACTTGTGCTCGTCCAGCTTTTCTAAATAGTCCCGAACCACTTCTTTCTCCGCAGAGGTCTGGTCACCTCCTCCCCATGCTGTGCTGCCCAGTGCAGTAGTCTGGGAGCTGACCTTGTTCGTGAAGACAGAGGCAAAAAAAGCATTAGCTTTTTCCACATCCTCTGTCACTAGGTTGCCTCCCTCATTCAACAAGGGGCCCTTTGCCTTGACTTTCTTCTTGTTGCTAACATACCTGAAAAAACCCTTGTTGTTACTCTTAACATCTCTTGCTAGCTGCAAGTCCAGGTGTGATTTGGCCTTCCTGATTTCACTCCTGCATGCCCGAACAATATTTTTATACCTTCCCTGCTCATTTGTCCAATCTTCCACTTCTTGTAAGCTTCTTTTTTGTGTTCAAGATCAGCAAGGATTTCACTGTTAAGCCAAGCTGGTCGCCTGCCATATTTACTGTTCTTTCTACACTTCGGGATGGTTTGTCCCTGTAACCTCAATAAGGATTCTTTAAAATACAGCCAGCTCTCCTGGACTCCTTTCCCCCTCATGTGATTCTCCCAGGGAATCCTGCCCATCAGTTCCCTGAGGTTGTCAAAGTCTGCTTTTCTGCAGTCCAGGGTCCGTATTCTGCTGCTCTCCTTTCTTTCCTGTGTCAGGATCCTGAACTCGACCATCTCATGGTCACTGCCTCCCAGGTTCCCATCCACTTTGGTACTCCACAGTCTGGTGAGGTAAGGATGTAAGGGGATTCTGCATTTTGGCTGGTCCTGTGTCAGCTGTCTCCCAACCTCAATATGTCCATATGCAAGAAATCCATCTCCTCTTCTGGTTTAAAAACATGCAAACTGGATGAGATGGCATCTCTATCTGATGGCTTTGAGCAGACCCAGACATCTATTCAGAGTGAAAGGAAAAGGAGGAGTTGTAGCACCTTAGAGACTAACAAATATATTTGAGCAAAAGCTTTCTTGGGCTAAAGCCCACTTCATCAGATGCATGCAGTGGAAAATACAGTAGGAAGATGTACACACAGAGAACATGAAAAAATGTGGGTTGCCCTACCAACTCTTAACGAGATCCACTGATTATCACTACAAAAGTTTTTTTTTCTCCTGCTGATAATAGCCCACCTTAATTGATTGGTCCCGTTAAGAGTTGGTATGGCAAACCCATTTGTCATGTTCTCTATCTTCCTACTGTATTGCAAACAAATAGATAATGATGTGAAGAGTGTAAAATGGTTGGGTTTCTACAATTTCCAGTTCTTGTAGCTCCCTTTAGCCTAGGAATGGACTAAGGTTAAGAGATTTTCTCTGTGCTCATTTTAAATTTGCTTCCAGTCTGAGTAGTATAACTCACCATATAACTACAGGTTTCAGAGTAATAGCTGTGTTCGTCTGTATCAGCAGAAGGAGTGAGGAGTGCTTGTGGCACTTTCGAGACTAGCAGGTTTGTTGGGCATAGGCTTTCATGGGCTGGGGCCTGCTTCATTGGATGCATGCATTGGAAAATACAGTAGGAAGATAGATATATACAGAGAACATGAAAAAATGGGGGTTGCCATACCAACTCTTAAAGAGACCAATCAATTAAGGTGGGCTATTATCAGCAGGAGAAAAAGAACTTTTGCAGTGATAATTGAATGATCTTGTTAAGAGTTGGTATGGCAACCCCCATTTTTCATGTGTTCTCTCTCTCTCTCTCTCTGTTTATAATCTTCCTACTGTATTTTCCACTGCATGCACCTGATGAAGTGGGTTTTAGCCCAAGAAAGCTTATGCTCAATTAAATTTGTTAGTCTCTAAGGTGCCACGAGTCCTCCTTTTCTTTTTGCGGATACAGACTAACATGGCTGCTACTCTGAAACCTATTCAGAGTAAGTCACAGAAAGGGTTGGGGTGGAGGGTTTAAACCTTGGTGGGATGGGAGAATCCCATTTTGCCCCTGGGAAGAAAGTGGGAGGCTGGGCACTCACCACCCCAAAACAATTCTTCTAATCCCCATCCCAAACCTTCAGTGAAACTAGACGAGCCCAAAAGGTGCTATCATAGTAATTCCACTGATCACCTGAGAAATGAGTGCCCTGTGCGGGGAGGAAGCAGGCAGCAAGGAGCCCTTGTTGATGCTGCTGTCCTCCACACAGGAGCCTCTGGGGCACCTGGCTCTTTTCACACTGATTTTATGGGACTGGCCTCTGCAGACGCAGGCGTGGAACACATAAAGGTTGTCAAAATTAATGGCAGGGAAAATGTAGGATGGGAAGATACAGGTGCAGAGATTTCCGTGGTTAATTCGAATGTAATTCGAGATGATAAGACATTGCCAGGACAGATGGCAGAGCTTTTATTAGTAGGAGGTTTCTAGACTCTTGTGCCTTTGGCTATAAGGCACATTGAAACTGATGGGTTAGAAAGTGCATTAAAGGTGGGAGTAGTGGATGATATCCCCATTGACATGGTTACTGGCAATGATTTTTTCCATATAGCTCAGATTGTTGTAGCCTGGAACAAGAAGGAATATTTTGCTGGGTCCCCAGGGGGAAAGGGTATAGTCCCAGAACCTGCTGAAGGAAAGGGAGAAAATCTCTTTGAATCCTCTGTAGCAAAGGGAAGTAATATGATTCATGGGGGGTTTTTTGGGAGGGGGGGATTGAGACCAGCTCCTGCACCACAGCTGAAGGCAGCACCTCTTCAGGAAGGGAGAGGGGTGGAATGCCTGGCACTGAGAAAACTGTTCCAGCCATTAGCTGTGAGCCCTTTGCAGCTATACAAGGGATAGATTCTGCTCTAGAGAGCTTAGAGAGATGTGTCCAAGAGGGGATGCCAGAGAAGGAAAATGGGGAAAGAATAGTGGGAGCACATGGATATTGCCTCACTGGTCACTTGAGAGAGGATGCCCAGGACTGAGTGGCTGATTCAGCATCTGTGCACCCAGGCATGCTGCCTGTAACTTAGGTTCAAAGAGGGGACTGTGTAACTGGCCTTTCAGAGCATAGCAGTCACATAGCTAATTTCTCAGGGAAAGGGGTGATGGAGGTACTCCAATCCAGGTCCCAGTTTTTTAGGACACCCATTTTAGGACATTTTAGGACACCCTAAAGCATCCTGAATTGGCATTTCATTGGAGTATTAAGAGCTTTACCAGTTAACTTTTCAATCGGGGACGGGGGACAGACTTTCTTGTGATCAGGAATCACATGAGCTGCACACAGGCTCTCAAAAGTAGTAAAATATTCTGTGATATCACCCATCTCCTTATGTGCAGTACATAACTGCTCCCATTTGTGGATTTTGGGAGAGATGGGAATCAGTGGGGTTAGATGATTCTGGTTCTGCTTTTCTAGCAAGTCCAGTTGGAGTTTTCAATCTCTAGCCTTCCTCAGCCTCCTTGTTTTTCAGCTCTAGAGTTCCTTGATGTCCTGTGTCCCCTCTGGCAGCCTGTTTCCCTTTCTCCTTTATCTCCGGTTCTTTCATTTTCAACCGATGCTCAGTTTCTCTCTTTTTCTGCTACCTGTAGTCTGTACAGCTCTAACCTGGCAACTGTATCACTCACTCATTTTTATGCCTTTCTGCTCCTATTTCCCTTTCCCAAAATATGCAAACACAAAATAATAAACTTGTAATTCTTTCTTGACCGCATAAAGTCTCACTTAAAATCTCTACACCAGTGTCAGAAGTGCAAATCTTGGTCAGAATAAGCTGTGCATTTCATCCTGCTCATTGTGTCACAGAGACAGGATTCCTGGGGTATAACCTGGAACTTTAGGACCACTGTGCCCCCTTAACTCTATAACCTGGGCTGTTTCTCACAAGGCTATGCCAGTGACAAGCAGCAAACCCCTCCACTTACTGTGACCACTCAGCCAACAGCACGTTTTGCTCATCCAGCTAAACTGTATGAATGCTCTCTAAGTCACTCATGAATTGTACAAATCACCCTAGCCTCCAGCTTGCACCCCAGAAATATAGCATCTTACACTGCTCAAGACTTCCTTGGACAGTGCAAGCCCATTAATTAGCTTGCCACTCCAACAAAGGGTAGTGGATATGCACCAGCCCGTTAACCTGAGATTCCCCCAGCACTTCAACCAAAAACACACTGTTTTAGGTAAAATCTAAAACAGATTTATTTACTACAGAAAGATTTAAGTGATTATAAGAAGCAGGCACAGAAATCAAAGTTGGTTATGTAAGAAATAAAAAAACCTCGCAGTCTAAATTCTACAGACTAAGCAAGATTCGAATCAAGCAGTTTCTCACCCCACTGGATGTTTCAGGCAGTTTACAGTTTTTATTACACAGGGGGAATTTGCTTGCTAGCCTGGGATCAATTTCCCCCATTCAAAGACTTTGCTTTAAAAATGATCTTCCAGGTGTTGAGAGGGGGGAGGAAAGAGGCCAAGTGGTGATGTCATTGACCCTCACTTAGACTTTCTCTCCAGGTGCTAGAAAGATCCTTGCTGTGACATGGAAGTTAGACAGCACCCATTGCATATGTGCCCTCTCTGAGGCATGTCTGGGAGAGTGAATTCTTGACAGGACCAGCCAGACATGTCTTGGTGGCCTGATGTAAATCTGTCTTGTCAGTTTCTCCTTTGTTACCACTGAAAGGCTGGCTGTGCACATGTTCCACTTACCACATATTTCAGTACCAAACATATAGCAATACTTCATAACTTCACATGCCATGATAGTACAGACAATCCAACTGAATAGCAATGTTTAATGGAACAATGATACTTCACAAGGTGTACTTTGCATAAAATATACCACAATCATATCCCAGTAGTGAATATGGAGTCCAGGGTGCTGTGTTACAGCAGCACAAAGCGATTGTGTTGAGCATGGGGAAGGGGAATCCATGCAGTACCAAGGTTCCAGGCATGCCCACAAGCCTGGCACACCTGCAGGCAGTCATTAATCTCCTCGCCTTCCCCTCCTCCCCCAGCACTCCGCCATCCATGCCCCACAGGGGCTGCTCTCTGCAGGGCCGGTACTCCTGCTGCTTCCGGGAGCCGTGCTGGCCTCAGGCTCCAATCCAGACAGCAACTCCGTGACTGTGGTCCTCCTGGTCTTCCTGCTCCTGCTGCTGCTCCTGGTGCTGGCCCTGGCCTGGCGCAAGTTGAGCCATGATTCAGATGGCAGATATCACCCACGCCACCTGTGCCAGCCACACCGCCTGCTGGCAGCCCTGGCCAGGCACTGGCATGAGCTGCGAGGGCAGGTGCCCCCTGAGAGGCACTGGCAAGGCGAGGACGAGGACGAGGACGAGGAGACCCTTCAGCGGGATGAAGAGGAAGGTGGAGGAGGGCAGGAGCAGCAGAGTGAGGAGGAGGGCACTGCTGTGCCAGAGGGGACCCCACCCAGCGACGCCGCCGGGGGAGCCCTGGAAGAGGCAGGGGAAGCAGATGGCGCCAGCGCTGGGGGCCTGCTCAGTGACCTGCACTCCTTCTCCGGGACGGCAGCCTGGGAGGACAGCACAGCGGAGGGAGGCAGCCGCCAGCATGTCACTGCCCTCTAGAGGAGCTGAGGGAAGGACATGGACTACAGGGGGGACTGCAGCCCCCCACTTGCTCACTGGGGAGCAGCTAGAGTTGAACAACTGCTCCCAGCCCACCCCCCCAAAGAAGCTCTCCCCTCCCTGCAGAGCTCTCCACCCCTTGCCATGGGGCTGCAATGGGGCCCCTGCACCCCACCTCTCCCCCCCCCCACCCTCACAGCTGGAGAGCCAGCCAAAGCAAGGCAGGGAGCGCCCCCCCCCCCCCAGACTCTGCATTGACTCTAGCACCCCTCCCCTCCCCCCACTGCCTGCACCAGGATATGGGGTGTGACACTGTGGCATGAGCTCCCCACTGGGGAGCTGCTGATTGGCCCACAGGCAGCGCTACAGGCACCAATAAAGGGGCAGCATTGCTCACAACCTGGCACACTCTGCAGCTTCATTTACCCCAGCGGGGAACGCAGGGGGTGGGGCTGCATGGGGGGGCACGGAACCCGCTGTGAACCACACCCCTGGAAGAAGGGGGAGGGAGAGTAACCCCAGCCTTCTGGCCTTAAGGAGGGCTCTCCAGGCCCCCCTGCCCCACAACATGATGGGAGAAGAGTATGAGGCTCTCCCACTGGACAATCCCCCGCACTGGCTACGCACCAGCTGGAGTGACCCCCACCCCCAAACACCATGGAGCAGCGGGCAAGGGGGTGGTGGCAAACTACCTCCCCTCCCCCAGCAACAAGAAGGGACGGCCACAGCACAGCCATACCCAGGCTTTAATTGGCACAGACCCAGCTGCAGAGAGGGGCTGCCTGCCCCGCAACCCACACACGGTGACATGGAGTACAGCAGACAAGCCAGCAACCCTCCTACCCAGAGGAGGCAGAGCGTGGTCGCTTCCCTAATACTCAGTACCCCACTGCCCCCCACACCCCATGCCTCTCCAGGCTCTGCTCCCCCACATACCCTGCCCCCCCCTTTCTCTGCTCCCCCAGGGTTCTGAGCCTCACCCCCCACACTGCCCCACCCCATCACCCTAACCCCCACCACACTCTGCACGATGCCCTTCTTCACACAGGCCCCCCCAGCCATGCTCTGCTCCCTCCCCAGCACACACTGACCCCCCCCCGACAACGCCCCTGCCATGCTCTACCCTGCATCCTCTGCTCTCCTCTAGCACTGACCCCCTCAAACCCAAAACATGATTTGTAGCAATAAAAACAGAGCACCAAGGAAAGGTTAAAAGCCCCGTGGGTGGGACCTGCAGCCCAGGGCCCATGGGGCCGCTCAGGACACGCCCAGCAGCCCCTGCCCTCCACAGCTGGGGCTGCCCCACCCTCTGGAATTGCAGCCCCGACAAAGCATCTCCTCCTGAGTCCATCCAGGCTGGGGGCTCCCGATACCTCCCAGCCCCACTCAGCTGTCGGGGGCTATGTCCACTCCATGGGTCACCGACAGGCTGGGCACCTCCATGGGGAGCCTCCCACTGGCCCAAGCTGAGTCTCCTGCCCAAGCAGGGGCACCATGCCTGCCTCAAGCTACCTTGCCACCCGGCCCCGGCCCCCCTTCTGCTTCTTGGTGCCTGTTGATGTCTTGATAGGAAGGGGGGCCGTGCCCTCTGGTGGAGGCGGCAGCAGCGGCAGCCCTAGCTCCATGGGCTCCACCGCCAGGCTGGGCTTGAAGGCCTCGAAGGGAGAGAACTTCAACGGGCTGAAAGCAACAAGGAAACTGTGAGACCCCCACAGAGAGAGAGTGAGCCGGCCCCATCCCAACCCCCACAGGTGGCCAGGCCTGGGAACCCTGCAATCAACAGCCCCACGCCCCAATCCACAGCCCCCGTCCCACCCTCTCCTCGGGAACATTGTGATCAACAACCCCAGGTCTTGGCACTACCTCCCTGCCCACCCAGATCCACAGCTCCAAATGGCAACACCATACAGAAAGAGGTGTATCTACTGCTGGGAAAGCCCAGGAAGGGGATGCTAGAGCCACTGCCCCCTAGAGGGGAAAGACCCCATATCCCACTCCCCATCCCTGAGTCAACCAGTTCCCCTAGGCTGGCGCCAGATCAGAGCCAGCGCCCCCTAGAGGGGAAAGGAGCCCTGCCTGTTGGTCACCTCGTTTGGAAGTGCCCCATGCCGTACCTGACAGGCGTTCTGGGGCTGCTGTTGAGGCGGCGAGGGAGCGCACCTTTGGCTGGAAGGAGAAGCCCTCCTTAATGCTCTCCAGCACCGACGGGGCCACATACGTGAAGCCCTGCAGAGAGCATGGAGGTCAGAGCAGCAGGGATGCCACAGTGCAAGCTCCACCCCCTCCGAGGTGTCAGAGGGCCCCCTGCTGGGGAGGGCAGGGTTGGGCTGTGCCAGCTGCACCCCCTCCCAGCTGAGACAGCACCCCCTCCTGGGAGTCCTTACCAGGAAGGCCTGGTTGGCACTCTCACTAATGGAGGCATCGTCAGGGCTGTCCACGGGCGTCTGACGAGTGAAGCGGGTGTCGAACTGGCTGACGTCGTCATCCGATTGCTGCAGGGCAGGAGGGAGGGGGACAAAGAGGGGTCAACCCAGAACGGGAGGGGCAGCCTGGCATCAGCGCCATTTGCCAGCGGGGAGGATGGCAACCAGGCTTGCCACATAAAGGATCTGGCTTCCCCTTTGCCATCCAGGTTTTCCTCCCCGAGGGGGCTGGGAGCTGCAGGGACATCTGGGTCCCATTCTCCAACACTGTCTCGGTCTCCCTCCCGCAATCCTGGGAAGGCTGGGCTGCAAGGAGCCCTAGGTGTGAGTGCTCTGCACTGCCACCCAGGTGAGGGTGCTGGGAGCTGCGAGGTGAGACATCTATTGCCATATGGGAGAGAGCAAGGCAGGCCTGTGCTGGGCTCAGCCCAGGCTGGGCTGGGCAGGGCAAGCAAGGAGCAATGGGTTGGCTCTCTCCTGCCATTGATGAGTGGCTCAGGGCGAGGGCAGGGCAGTACCAGGCAGGGCCTGAAGGGTGGGTCCAGCTTGCGCGCCAGCAGCTCATCCCAGTTGACGTGGCGGAAAAATGGCTGCTTCTGTAGGGACAGACATACAGGCAGGAGGTCAGAAGCCCAGCAGCTGCTCCCCCTCCCCTGTTGCCCAGCATCTGCCCAGCTCAGGCCTGTGCCCTCCCCTGGGCTCCCCATGCAGACGCCCTCTGGTGCGGGGAGTCCTAGGCCCAGGAAGGCTATGGCAAGGCTTGGCACAGCCTCCACCCCCTGCCTAGAGCCATGGCACATGGAAGGGAGCCGCCTCCTGCCACTGACTCCGGTGTGCCCATGGGTGCAGGTAGGGGAGAGAATCCCCCTTTCAGAGCGCTGTGTACTGCCCCTCCTCCACCTCCAGAAGGCACCCTCCTACCCCACCTACCTGCACATCGGCTGCATCGCCCGTCCCGCCCCCAATCCTCTGGCTGGGGTTTCTCTTGAGGAACTGAAAAGAGAGAACGGAGTCAGGCCACCCCTCAGGGAGCACGGCCTGGCAGACATGGGGTGGGGGGCACTGTTTATATACACACACACACACACTAAAGGGTTCCTCCCTGCCCCCACCCTGATTCCACATCTAGTGGCAGCCATTTTGGTGAAACCCACACAAAAGCCCTGATCCAAGATCATGCCCTTCTGGTTCTGGGGCTGACAGGTCGGCAGCTGTGAGGAGCGGAAGGGAAGGAGATGGCAACAGCGTCAGACAGGGGCAGGTGCCAGTAACCATCTGGGGGCAGTGGCACCTCCTCATACAGGTCAGGAGCGTGAGGGGCAGCATCCTAATGGGGGGGGAGGGAGGAGGGCACATGCAAGCAGTACCTTCTTGAGTAGATCGCGGGCGTCGGGGGTCAGGTAAGGCGGCAGCACCAGCTTCCCCTTGAGGATCTTGTCAATGGTTTTCTTCCGGTTCTCAGACGTAAAGGGCGGCTGCAAAGGAAGCACAGAGGGGGCTGAGCACCACGAAAAAGCGGGGGTCATGCTGGGAGAGGGGCATGACTCAGCATACCTCAGTGGGGCACAAGGGCCACTGAACCTAGTGCAGAACAAAGGTCTGGGCTGGGGTGGAGGGTGCAGAGTGAGGGACCGCGCTGGGGTGAGGGAAGGTGCCCTTTGGTGCAAAGGCTCATGGGACAGAGCAACAGCCAGGCCCAGCACTGTACCTGGAGAAAGGGAAAACCCTCAGCCTGCGGCTCCGGCCCCCCACCCCCATGTTAACAGCACAAGCAGAACTTGCCGATCCAGTGAGCATGTCGTACATCAAGGCCCCAAGGCTCCACCAGTCCACGGCCCGGTTGTGTCCACTCCGCATCAGGATCTCTGGAGCCCTAGGGGTGGCACAGACACCCTGAGCTGCTGGGCCAGCCACTGACCACCCCAAGGCCCCTAGGGGAGCAGTGCGAGGGGAAGGGCAGTGTCTCTGGGGCCGGGTCACACGGGGGAGTAGTGTGAGGGGAGGTGGGTGTCTCTGGGGCACCTACATGTACTCAATGGTCCCACAGAAGGTGTGGGTGACGGCTCCCTCATGGATCGACTCCTTGCACAGTCCGAAGTCCGTCAGCTTGATGTGCCCTGAGAGAGATGAGACCCCGTGGGTCAGACCTCCGGAGCCAGAGCTCTCTGGGCCCCACATCCAACCCCGCCGCCCCCGGGCTCCATACCTTGGCTATTCAACATGATGTTCTCTGGCTTCAGGTCCCGGTAGATGATGCCGTTGCAGTGCAGGTGGCCCAGGGCCAGCGTGATCTCGCTCAGGTAGAAGCTGCGGCACAAGAAGGAATGAAGCAGTCAGTACCACCTGAACACCCGCAGCTCGCGGGGGCGCTGCTCCCTGATGTGCCAGCCATGCAGCTCCCCCAGCAGAAGCAGCAGCTGACATGCCCAGTCAAACCAGGGGGATGGCTCCCACCATGCAGAAGAACTGGGCACTGCCCAGGGGAGCCAGTCAGGTCCTGGGAAATACTGTGGGCACCCCCATGGCACAAGAACCTCTTCACTACTCACAGACCAGTACAGCCCCCCTCTCCCAGGCTGGCTGGGCCCCAGCTGGCATTCCCTCTCTGCCTTCCTGTGCCCTCTCTCCTGCTTAGCTCTGCACCTGTGCATCCCATACCCGCCTCTCCTTGCTGGGACCCCCATGCTCCCCCCAGCCCATCTCTACCTCCTCCCAGCCCTTGCTTGTCTCCCGCTGGAGGAGGTTGGCTGCCATTTGAACCAGTAGCGACTGCCACTTTGTAACCAAGGATTGTGGCATTGACCATGGTGTCAGCAGGTCACAGTGAGCCTCAGGCTGCCCCTGGCAGTGTGCACAACGTGGGACGCTGAGCTGTGCCAGTTACTACGTATTGCAACCTGCTCCCATTCTCTGCTGCACACAAGCCCCTGCCTCCCTCAGGTTCTGGCGCCAGCAGGTTGGCTCTGCCTTGGTGCTCTGGCACGGGAGCACTGTCTGGCTTTAAACACAGCTCTGCACTCGGAACCAACTCAGTGATCCCTCTGAAGAGCCGCAGTCTGTGGTGTGTTTACACAATGGGAGCAGGTCGTTTCCACACAGACTTTGGTCAACACAGCAAGGGCGGGACGGGCACTGGGCTGGAGTTTAGGAGTCTACAAAAACAATCACAACACAGCCAGAGCACTGGCGGGGTGAGGGGGTGGGTTCTGTGCTCCCAGCTACTCCAGTCACTGACCATGCTGTGTCCTCCAGGAAAATGCCCTCACGCTCCAGCTGCATGAAGAGCTCTCCACCTGTAGACCCAAAACAAAGAGGTACCTGAGCTCCCCACACAGGTCCTGGCTCCTGCCCCACATCCCCCCACACCCAGAGAGGTCATGAGAGTAGAGAGGGGCCAGCTCTGGCCAGATTGCAGGCCGACAGCACTATACAGTCTCCAACAATACTGTGCTCACATAGGTCACTCACATGAAGCCTGCTCTCTCCCCTAGCCCTTGCTAGGGCCAAACCCTCCCAAGCCACCCCTGACCTCAGCCCTGCCCCATACCACTCAAGCACTCAAGGATGAGGTAGAGCTTGCCACCCGTCTGGAAGGCGTAGATCAGGTCCACGATGAAGGGGTGTTTGATGGCCTCCAGGATGTTCCTCTCAGCCTTGGTGTGAGCTGTGTCCTTGGCGTTGCAGGCGATCTTGGCCTGGGGGGAGACAGACAGAGAGAGGGGCATTAGGGTGCCAACAGGGGACATCTCCAAGCTCAGAAGCAGAAGGGCTGGCCAGCTAGTTACCTTCTTCAGGACTTTCATGGCAAAGATCTTCCCAGCGTTGGTCCCCTGCACCTTCCGCACCTGGAACACCTGTGAGGGAAGAGAGGGGACTTTAGGGAGGGCGGTTGTACAGCTAGATCCCCACTGCCGTGCCAACGACAGGCAGGCAGCTTCCTCCAGCAACTCAGGGGACCATCTGGGAAGAGATGCCCCGATGGAAACAACATGACAGTATTCAGAAATGCAGCCACAGGGCCTTATGGGAGTTGTAGCTCAGCTGTCTCATGCAGCCCCTCTGTAAGCCAAGCTCCCCAATCACACTTACTTTCCCATGATGCACTGGGGCCATGCGAGAGCCACTTGGTGCCACCTGTCCTTCGCAATAATTGAGTTCATGATGCATCCTGGGAGAGGTAGTCCAGCTAAGGAGCCAGGGCCAGGAGGCATTTGAAGTACATTACCCATGTGGCACTACAATGGTGTGTCAGAATTGAAATTTCTGACCAGTTCTCTCCACCAGACAAGTTACCCCCAAAACAGAGCCCTAGAGCAGGCCCTGGCAAGGGTCCCAGCACCCAATCCTTCCCTCCCACCCTTCTCGTTCTCCTCCATAGGGGTTTCTGCTAGCAGGGGTCCAGGAGAGAAACAGGGGTGAGTCAGTCCCACAGTGGCATCCCCCAGTACAGACGGGTGTGTGCATAGGGAGGCACACACCCTTGCCCCCCACAGCTGGCCCCATCAGTCCGATTCCCCTGGCCCTTCCCTACCTTGCCGTAGCCACCCTTGCCCAGGACACGCAGCAGCTCGAAGCAGTGTGGCCCAATGCGCTCAGGGCCATTGTTGACGCTGCTCTCTGAGATCTCGATCTCCTCATAGTGCCCCACCGGCCTGAGGGAGATGGGCAGAGATGTGAGCAGGGAGCACATGCTGGAGACGCCGTAGGGAACAGGGAGGAAGAGCCACCCAGGGAGAGGACATACTGGACCAGTGATCAGCTGGGGGAAAGCCCCTGGGAATAGGGCAGGTTCTGGCTCCTGAGTGCCCACTCCCTCAGCTCAGGAAGGCTGGTTCGATTCATCAGCTCCCCAAAGAAAGAATGACATTTGTCGAAAGCCCCTGCCCCCACCCAGCCCCTTCCCTGGGCTACTTACTCCAGGCCATTCCCCCGCAGCTCCAAATCCATCTCCTAGGACAGAGGAGGGGAAATCAGACAAGCACACACTGACAATCCCCACAAGAACAAGGGGTCACAGGGACAGTCTGCCAAGGGGCACAGGGGCTAGGGGCACCAGAACTAGGATCAGGCACTTGGAGTGTAAGGGGGCACCAGGGCTAGGAGCAGGCAGCCAGGGGTTGGGCACGGGGCAGAGGGGTGAGGTGTGTACCAGGGCTAGGAGCAGACTGCCTAAGAGTGCCAATGGGGTGTGGAGCACCAGTTTTCATGTCTGGCTGCTGGGAGGAGCCAGGCTTAAGGTCAGGCTGTGGAACAGCAAGGGGACAGGGAGACGACAGCCTCCCCAGGGGCAGGGTAAGGCGCTAGTTTCGCTGGGGTGTTATTAGTCATGGGTAACAAGGACGCTCTGTGATTGGAGTGCAGTCACCTTCTAAGGACATTGCTCATCATGCTGCCCAGAGTCACAGACTGTGGGGAGGTGGGACAAGACGCAGGGGGCCGAATCACTCACGCCCCTTCCTTGTGGAGCGTGGAAGAAAATCACATGCTACCTGGACACTGGAAGCAAGAGCAGAGGGAAGTGCTAAGGGGGGAGCGGGGGATAGGGGAGCACAAAAGCCCAGCGGGTGGGGAGGGGGGACTTCATATGGGGAACAGGTAGCAGGGTTGAGAAGCAGATTAGCGTGTCCTAGGGGGACATGGGGGTGTCCTGGGGGGAGCTGAGGAGCAGGTTGGGGGACCAGAGGTTCAGGCAGGGGATACATGGGTGCCCTGGAGGGCAAGTGGGGGGCCCTGGGAGACCAGTGTGGGGGGCCCAGCAGGGAAAAGATGGGGGCCCTGGGGGGCAGGTGGGGGGGGCCCGGGCCGAGGCTCTGTCCACCCCCCGCTCTCACCGCCCCCAGCTCGGGCTCCTCCCCGTCGCTCCCCTCCTCGGTCTCCAGGTCGATGTCGAACACCCCGGCCATGGCGCCGGCGGCAGCAGCGACGGCCCCGGGTTCCCCCAGCCAGGCCCCGCCCCCTCCTGCCCGGTGGCGCGTCACAGGCCTGCGCCCGCCACCGTCCCGGACCCCGAGCGCCGCGTGATGACGTCACCCAGGCTTCTGGGCCCCGGAGTCCCCGTTCGCGGAGGGGCTCGGGAAGGGAACGAGGAGCCTTGGGCAGCGCGGCGGCGAACGGGCTGCAGCGCGGGTCATCGGGCGCGCGGCATGGAGCCTGCCGGAGGGAGAGCGAGAGCGAGACACGTCCAGAGGCCGCGAACCGGCGGAGCAAGAGGCGGGTTGACTCCGATGCGCTATTGTCAACGGCAGGAAAAAACCTTTGGTCGGGAAGGGACCCAGCCGCGGGGGCCTCTGGGAAACGTGGCCCCGGGGTCGGAGCAGATGTATCCGTGCCCCTCCCGCCCCCTCCCGGGCTCCCCCCGCCCCCTCCCCTGTGAGTCCCTTCCCGCGGGGGCCCCTCTTGCCTCCCCCCGGGGCCTCCCCCCCGGCCCCGCCACGCCCCCTCCCTGGGCGGGGCTCGCCTTGTTTTCCAGGCACGCCCCGGCCGGGACCCCGGCCGCCGGGGGCGGGGGAGTCACACGCCTGTCTGGCCCCACGGCACCCTGCTCCCCACATGCCGGGGGTCCTGTAACACGGGCTGGATTAACTCTCCTGTGGGGCCCCTGGGGGTCTGGGGTGCGGGAGGGGGCTCGGCTGGGACAGGAGGTTGGGGGGCAGGTGGGGTCCGGGAGGGAGTTTGGGTGCGGGAGGGGGCTCGGCTGGGACAGGAGGTTGGGGGGCAGGTGGGGTCCGGGAGGGAGTTTGGGTGCGGGAGGGGGCTCGGCTGGGTCAGGTGGTTGGGGGGCAGGTGGGGTCCGAGTGGGAGTTTGGGTGCGGGAGGGGGCTCGGCTGGGACAGGAGGTTGGGGGGAGGTGGGGTCCGAGTGGGAGTTTGGGTGTGGGAGGGGGCTCGGGTAGAGAGTTGAGGTCTCGGGTGCAGGTTCTGGCTAGGAGGCGCTTACCTTGGGCTGCTCCTGGTCGGTGGTGCAGCATGGCTAAGGCAAGGGCCGGGGCCCCGGGGGGAACCCCCCATGGCCCAGGGGGTTTAATAATATTTAAAGTTAAGGAAGTATGGGGGATGAATGATAAAGGTGGGTAGTGTAATTGTTAGGTATGTATTTTATGGTATTTAAGGGTGTTGGGGTTTGTAATATTTATAAATGATTGGAGGTGGTGTGGTTGTCTCAGAAATTTGGGATGTATAAATGGGAGGAGTGTAGTAGTGGAGGGGGGGTAGGTAAGATAGAAATTGGGGTTAAAGAAATTGATGAGGTTCAATAAGGATAAGTGGGTTGATTAGAGAGAATAAGATAGGAGAATGTAAATTTGGAAAGGTAGGGGTGTGAGAAGTGATATGGTATTTTGTTGAAGAAGGAATATTTTGGGATGTATAAGTAGGGGATAAGAGATGAGGGGTTTCTATTAATGTGTATTGAGTATGTTAGTTTTGGCTTAAGAAGGATGTGGTAAATTGGAGAGAGTCGGAAGGGAAAAAAATGATTAGGGGTTGAAATATGAGTTATGAGGAGAGGTGAGGGAATGGGATTGTTTATAGAAGAGAAGAATGAGGGGGGATTTGATAGTGTTTTAATATGAAAGGGGGTTAAGAGGATGTCTATTTTAATGTATAGATGAGAAGAGGAGTAATGTCTAAGTTAAGTGGGGGAGGTTTAGATTGGATATTAGGAAAAATTTTATAAGAGGGTATGAAATGGAATTTATAGGAGGTGTAATCTCCTTCTTAGAGGTTTTTAAGTTTGAAAATGTGGGATGATTTAATGGGAATTGGTTGTTTAGAGGGGTTGGATAGATGACTTCTGGGGTCCTTAACTTATATTCTATGATTCTATGATTCTAAGATCCCTGTCTCCCATGGCTCCACGCTGCTCTGCTCCCCAAGGTGGCCGGCATGTGCGCTCTGCATGGTGCCAATGGGAGCTGCAGAGCCGGTGCTGGGGGCAGGGGCAGCGTGCAGAGATTCCCTCATTGCCGCTCCCCTCGGGGTGTTCTAAGACTCGGGTACCGGTGTCAGGCCCATGGCATGGAGACTTGCCACGGGCGGGATGAAAAGAAGCCATGGACTGCATCCGGCCCTGCAGGGCCCCCGCCTTAGCCCGAGGCCGTGGGCTGCAGCATCTAAAGCCCCTGCATTAATCTGGCCCTGCCTGTAACAACAACAGACAGCCTGAGTGCCAATGCTGTGAGGCCTGCCGATCTAGCCCGGCAAAATCCAGGGCCAGGGCCATCCTTAGGCATACGCAGAATACACAGCTGCGTAGGGCACCATGTAATTTGTGGGGCACCAAATTTCGTGATGCCCTAAGCAGCTGTATGCGGCTCTGGCTCCAGTGGCCAGCCCCATCCCCCAGTCAGCCCCCCTGCTCCGCCCCCACCCTGCCCCCATTCGACCCCAAGCCCCTGCCCCACCCCGCTCCACCTCTTGCCGCCCCTGGTCTGCCCCCACCGCGCCCCCATTCCACCCTTCCCCCAAACCCCCTCCCCCGAATGACGCAGCCCACGGGATTAGCGGGGTACTGGAGCTGGCAGAAGGGGTTGGTCCTGCCCCTGCACACACCAGCGGCAGCAGCGGGAAGCAGAGCGACCTGGCACCAGCCTGCTCCGCTCTGCCAGCTCCCAGCCACATTGCTCCGCTTCCCGCCACTGGTGAGTGCGGGGGTGGGCCTGACCCCTTCCTCCAAGCCCCCTCCCTCAAGCGACAGGGCTGGGAGCTGGGGGAGCAGAGCGGGCTGGGGCTGAGTCGCTTTGCTTTCTGCTGCCACCAGTGAGTGTGGGGGGGCCCCGACTCCTGCTGCCGGTGCCAGGCCCCCTGCTCATCCCCCATGCTGCTCTGGGCCCCCCACAGCTCCTGCCCCCATGGCCCTGCAGCCCTTGAGCACAGTCACCCCCCCCCCATGGAGGGGCTGGCCCCCCAGTGGAGCAGCCACTTCCCCCACGGGGGGGGGGGTAGTTGCTCGGGCTACGTAGGGCACTGCCATAGGTAGGGATGGCCCTGGCCAGGGCCCAGAGGTGTCTAAGCGAGGGGTAACTGTGATGTTCCCCATGGTACAGTCTGGGTCTGAACAGCTCTGCTCTCTCAACTCTCCAACCTGGGATGCTTTGCTGTGAGAACAACCACTCCCGGTCTGCTCACGCACAGCCTCAAGCATGTAAAATCACTCCCTGATGAATTATATGAGAGCTTCTAGCCAGCCGCTTCTGAATTATATTACAGAGAGACACCAGTAAATTCCCAGTCTCAGATTTGTCCCCAGAAATGTGCATCTTGTACTGCCCAGCTCTTTCCTTCTGGGCAGTTCAAGCTCACAGAAAGTCTGTTATTTCATTCATAGAAAATGATATGCACAAACCCTCTTATCTCAAATGGAGTTTCCCAAACTGTTCAAACACACGCTGGTTTAGATAAAACAATGAAGCAAGTTTATTAACTACAGGAAGATAGATTAGTGATAAGTGATGAGGCATAAAAGTAAGAACTGGTTACAAAGCAATAAAAGGTAAAACACAAACTAATATGTAACTTAACAAGCAAAGTGAATTTAAAGCAAAAGATTTCTCTCACCGTATGCTTACAGCAGTCTGGTTGGATTCCTTCAGCGAGGACCCTCCCCCAGTTCAATGATGCTTCTTTTGTCTTTTAAGCATTATTGATAGAGATGAGGGGAGAGAGGTGATTTGAAGCCTCTGTTCCTTTTTTTTATATCTTTTCCTCCTCTTTGAGAATCATCTCCAGCTGGGGTTCAGGCGACAGCCAGGCTGTTTGTCAAGATGTAAATTTTTCACTCACACCTTTCTTCCTACCGAAGAATGGCTGATTTAACTAGGTGATAGTCCATTTGATTGTGTATACTATCATTATATGTGAAGTTATGAAGTTTTGCTATGTGTGTGGTACTGAAATGTGTTATGAGGTTGGGAGAAGCCCACAGCCATCCTTTCAATGGCAACAAAGGAGCTGCTAGTAAGACAGATTTACATTAGAACCAGCCCGTCAGTTGTTGATGACTCCTCAGAGAGGCATGTATGCAATGGGGGCTGCTTAGCACCCAAGTCACAGCCAGGATCTTTCTAGCCCCTGGAGAGAAAGTATAAGTGAGGATTGCTGACATCACTGCTTGGCCACTCTGCTCCCCCATAGAATCATAGGACTGGAAGGGATCTTGAGAGGTCATCTAGTCCAGTCCCCTGCACTTATTGCAGGACTAAGTATTATCTAGACCAGTGGTTCTCAAACTAGGGCCGCTGCTTGTTCGGGGAAAGCCCCTGGTGGGCCAGGCTGGTTTGTTTACCTGCTGCATCTGCCGGTTTGGCCGAACGGAGCTCCCACTGGCCGCGGTTCGCCATTCCAGGCCAATGGGGGCTGCAGGAAGTGGCGCAGGCCGAGGGATGTGCTGGCCACCCTTCCTGCAGCCCCCATTGGCCTGGAGCAGCGAACCGCGGCCAGTGGGAGCCACGATCAGCTGAACGTGCGGACATGGCAGGTAAACAAACCGTCCCGTCCCCGTCAGGGGCTTTCCCTAAACAAGTGGCGGCCCTAGTTTGAGAACCACTGATCTAGACCATCCCTGACAGATGTTTGTCCAACCTGCTCTTAAAAAGCCAACGGGAGGGCTAGAACTTTTTAAAATTGGGAAAAAACTTTTCCTTTGTCTGTCTGTCTGTTCTCTCGGGAGAGGAGACACAGAGCAGCAGTGCTGTAAGAAGCTTGCCCCAGGTATGAAAAAAATCATCAGATCATACCTAGAACTACTCATTTGAAACCCCAGATATGTAAGTAAATCAGGAAATATCTAGGAAGACATGATTAGGTTTATCTCTTATTTCTGTAAGGCTTGTGGATTCCTCCGTGCTAACCTCCAAATGCTTTTGTTTTGCTGGTAACCATTAAGCTGGACCTCAAGAAAACCATTCTTGATGCTTAATTATTATATTTGCTCTTTTTAAAT